CGGCTGCGATACGTCGAATTCAGCTACGCTATTCGCGTAGCTGAATTTACATATCTTAAATCGACCCCCTCCTGTAGTGAAGACCTGCCCTTAACACGGCTGCTACTCTGAAACCTGCCCTTAGATTGTGCATCTAAAAATCTATGCAAGGTATTTTTTTAGAGATGTGATTTTTTTTTTTATCTTCAGCAACGCACTAATGAAATAATTTTAAAGCAAATTTTAAACTAAGGTCCTGTAGACTAACATGTTCTGAGTAAATATTAGTCATGCACAACTGTTTGTCAGTGAATTCAGAAACGGACAGTACCTGGGGTTTGGCAAATGCTTCTTAAATGGCTTCATTACCACTTGAATGGCTCTTTAACAGTTTCAGTGTTGGGCTAATAGGTCTGGCAGACTGGAAGGCTTTTTCCCTTTTAAGTTACTAGATCCCAACCGGAGGAAGACTCACTAGGTTGCAGCAGCTAGCTGTGGGAGCCTGCAGGAAGGGTCAGAACAGGGATAGGAAGAGGTGGGAGGGTGGACACTAAGACCCAGGGGTGCCCCAAATTTTCAGGTGCCCTTCACAGCCAGCGTATGCCTAAGGACGGCCATGCTTGTAAGTCTTAAGGTCTACACTATGGGGGGTGGGGGGGTCGACCTAAGATACACAACTTCAGCTACGTGAATAGCGTAGCTGAAGTTGTGTATTTTAGGTCGACTTACCTGGTTGTGAGGACGGCGGCGAGTCAACCGCTGCCGCACCACTGTCGACTCCGCTTCCGCCTCTTGCCGCGGTGGATTTCCGGAGTCGACGGCAGAGCCATCGGGGATGGATTTTATTGCATCTTCACTAGAGGCGATAAGTCGATCCCCAATAGATCGATTGCTATCCGGCGGGTGGTGAAGAGGTGCCCTTAAACAAAGGGGTGGTGTAAAAACAAAACTTGACTTATGTGCAGGAAATATCAAATCACTTCAAGCTTCCTAGCCTGCGATATTTTTTGTGTCCATCTCTTTTGAGCTTTATCCCATATTTCTTGGCTTCAGTGGGTTGTTCTGTGTGTAAAGTGCAGCACAAGTATATTCCTCAGCAAGATCATGGCTAGGGCTGGTTGAAAGTTATCCACTGACGCTTATTTTTAAATGGAAAAACTGGAGTTTTGTCGTGTGTATAATGTCTGCTTTCCTCTCCTAATTTTTTTATCCGAAAACTTCTAGCTGCAAACTTCCCTCCCCCCTCCTTTTTCACTTTCCACGCTTTTGGGGTTTTTTGATTGAAAAAAAATCAAACTTCCTCTGAAACTTTTTGACAATGATTTTTTTTATTTTTTTTTTAATTTTTCCACAGCGGGGGAAACCCGCTTTCCGAGTGGCTCTAATTCTGCCACAACAAGCCTCCATTACTAACAGGAGAGTGAGTGTAACCAGCTGCTGATGCACCAAACATCTGCCTACTCACAGCTCGGCGAGAGAGGCTTTCAGACAAGCTTGGGGAACACGGTTAGGAACGGTTGAGTGAGGTATGCTGTGCAGTCAAGACTGACCCTTGAGAGAGAGTCACAGCTGAAATGAGTGAATCATACGTCAGATCCTTGACAACAAGGTGGCAGCTCTACCAGAAATGCACTGGAACAAATAAAGAATAGTCTTTTTTTTTCTCTCCCCTTTTTCTCTGCAGAGAATCCCAGAGGAGCTAACCCTAGATGCCTTACTGGATATGAATGAGTCCAAGGTGAAAGAAACCATGAAGAGATGTGGGGCCAGTGACGAGGAGTGTTCCAGACTCAATGGGGCTCTCACCTGCTTAAGGAAGGTGACCGAATCAGGTATAGATTTCCTTGCTGTTTGCTGGGATTAGTGGCTAATTAGACAGTCACCCCTGAACTCCATCTTGCTTCCGTTTTGCGTAGTCTAAAAATCTTCTGGAGAATCTCTTGGGCTTATTCTGCTGGCAACATTTAAGGGCCAACTTTTGCCCTTGGATGCACATGGGGTTCATGTGATTTGAAGTTATCAGGAGCTGTGTACCCATCGGAAGACAGGAAATGTCTCTCGAGGTGCATTTGGTTCTGGAAAGGACTATATAAATGGTCCTAACTCAGCAGATCTGCTCAGAGTCCAGTCTGCTGACTGCTAAAAAGATTGACTTCTGTTTTAAACAGTAGCACCAACACACTTCTTTGGCATGGGGAGCTGGAGTAGGGTGACCAGATGTCCGGATATTGTTGGCTTTGCCTTACATATAGGTCCGTACCAAATTCACAGTTCCTTTTTGGTCAATTTCATGGTCATAGGATTTAAAAAATCATAAATGTCATGATTTCAGCTACACCTCTACCTCGATATAACGCTGTCCTCAGGAGCCAAAAAAATCTTACCACGTTATAGGTGAAACCGCATTATATTGAACTTGCTTTCATCCACCGGAGTGCACAGCCCCCCCCCTCCCCAAGCGCTGCTTTACCACGTTCTATCCAAATTCGTGTTATATCAGGTCGCGTTATATCGAGGTAGCGGTGTATTTGAATCTGAAATGTCATGGTGTTGTAATTGTAGGGTCCTGACTCAAAAGGAGTTGTGGGGGGGGTTGCAAGATTATTATAAGGGGAGGCGGGGGGGAGTTGTGGTACTGCTACCCTTACTTCTGTGCTGCTGGTGGTGGCTGCTGGCAGGGAGCCCAGCTCTGAAGGCAGTGCCGCCACCAGCAGCAGTGCAGAAGTAAGGATGGCATGGTATGGTATTGCCACCCTTACGTCTGTGCTGCTGCTGGCGGGGCGCTGCCTTCAGAGCTGGGTGCCCGACCAACAGCCGCCGTTCTCCAGCCACCCAGCACTGAAGTCAGCGCAGAAGTAACGGTGGCTATACCATGAACCCCCCCCCAATAACCTTGTGACACCCCCCCCTGCAACTCCCTTTTGGTCAGAACCCCTCAATTTGAGAAACCTGTGGTCTCCCCTGTGAAATCTGTATAGTATAGGGGTAAAGCATTCAAAAGTCCAGATTTCACAGTGGGAGACCAGATTTCATGGTCCATGACCCGTATTTCATGGCCATGAATTTGATAGTTGCATATATAAGTAGGGCCCTATCCCCCCTCCCTGCCTCTCCCCCAAAAAGAAAAGATACCTTGATTTTTCACACTTGCTGTCTGGTCGCCCTAAGCTGGAGGCATATCTGTCTCCCTCATTAACAGACTCATTAGCAGAGTTGCAATTGCAGATCTGTATTGGTGGTGGTGCAAGAGCCAGAAGAAACCTAGCATGACTTTTTCAGATTGTAAGAGGGTGGAGGGGGGAAATGTGAAATAAGCATCTTTACGCAAACTGATTGGATCTGGTTTCAAGTCACTCAGAGCTAGCGAACTCTGTTTTTTCAAAGCCCCTTCTTGGAAAAGTGCTGCTCTTAAAGGCACAATATGCTGTAGTTTTATGGAAGCCTGGGAGTGTTACTTGCAGCAAACCATCCTTATCTGCATCAGATCTTTCTTTGTGGCAGTTACTGCTCTGTCATTTTTCAGAGTAGCAGCGGTGTTAGTCTGTATCTGCAAAAAGAACAGGAGTACATGTGGCACCCTAGAGACTAACAGATTTATTTGAGCATAAGCTTTCGTGGGCTACAGCTCACTTCATCAGATGCACAGAATGGAACATATAGTAAGAAGATGTGTATAGACATACAGAGAACATGAAAAGGTGGAAGTTGCCATGCCAACTCGTGTCATTTCCTGTTGGTAATCTGACAGTTTGTACCTCTGGCAAATCTAAGGACCTGCAAACGGAAAAGTTAGCAAAGAACTTGACTTCATGTTTCCTTTCCTTTTTTTCTTTTTCTTCTAATCTTTCCGTCTTTAGGTTGTCAAGTATTTTCCATCCATACAGTGGCAAAACAGCCATCGCCTCTAGCTCAAGAGACATGTTGCTGTTTCCTGTAAGCAATGGCACCTGACCGGAAGTTCTCATTTATGATATTCTTGTACGAGAGATCGTTGTTAGCGCCGAGGACACAGAGCCAGGACTCTTGTTCCCAGTTCTGCCACTGACTGGCTAGTGTTACATAAACCAAGATGCTTAATATCTTTGGCCTTGATCCATCAAGTCATTTTAAGCATGTGCTGAACTTAGGTGTGAGAGTTGTCCCATTGACTTCGATGGGATATCTCTCGTGCTTAAAGTTAAGCCTATGCATAAGTGTTTAGATGGATGCAGGTCTTATTCACCTCTCACTGCCTCCTTTGATGGATAATACACCTCTGCCTTGATATAACGCTGTCCTCAGGAGCCAAAAAATCTTACCACATTATAGGTGAAACCATGTTATATCGAACTTGCTTTGATCCACCGGAGTGCGCAGCCCCGCCCCCCCCCGGAGCGCTGCTTTACCGTGTTCTATCGGGTCGGTTATATCGGGGTACAGGTGTACTTGCCTGCCTCATAAGGGTGTGCAGGAATTTAATGGAGGTCTTTGGGTGAGAGGCATTGGGGAAGGGAGCACTACCCCTTCCAAGATCATACTGCAGGGGAAGCTGGAAAGGTTCACTTCCCCAGCCCAGCATAAACTGGCAGTTTATGTAGCACTGATGAAACGCAAGTTACTAGATCGCCTAAATGCTGGAATTTGAGGATGAGCGCTATCACTCTCACCGAGGCAGCTGTGCCTTGATACTCCAAGGTGTCTGGTGTGTGGTAAGCTACAGGCAGTGGTTAAGAACTGGTGCTGTATGGGGACCAGTGAGCGGCTGAGACGTTTTGAATACAATTTTTATGGTTTGATGCAATTTTATTTTTCCAGCTGTAGAGGGGGGTGGGAGGTTGTATTTTTGGTGGAATCATCCCATTAATACACATTTGTCTTTCTGTTGTCATAAGCTTTATCAAGGCACGTAAAGATGCAGATAGGTGCCTAGTGAGCTTGGCAGAAGTTGCCCAAGTGAATTAGATGTCGAATTTCCATAGACTTTCAATGCGAGTTGGACACCTAACTGACTTAACTCCCATTAACAGTCTATGGCAGATAAGAACCTAACTCAGTTAGCACTTCCCTAAATCTCACCAGGCACCTCTCTCCATCTCCAGTACCTAAATACCTTTGTACATCTAGCCCTAAGCCAGTCATGCACCCTATAGGAGGAAGGAGGTTTATTTAGGTTTTGAAGCTCATGGCTACAATCAGGAAAAGGAAATAGTTTCTGTTGCAGTCATTTAAAGGGAACTTTAGCTGGCGGTTTAAAAGACTGAGGAGTTGAAACAATGGCCTGGCCAGATGACCAGGGGAAAAACCTCCTATTGTCCTTAAGCTGCACTGTGCTGGTTTTCTGTCAATTGCTAACACTGATACTCTCCTTGAACAGGTGGGGAGTTAAAAGAAGATCTGTTGTGGAATCCTTCTGATGCGCGTCGAGAGAGCACCTCTGCACACCCCGCAGAACCCTCCTGTCCTACAGGCCCCACGTGGACTCATGGCATGCTGCATCTTTCGAAAGGCAACAGCCAGCAGGCACGCTCTGTGTCCGTGTCTGCTATACCTTCTTCGGATTCTCTTGCCTCGAGCCAAGGACCTTCAAGCTACACAGACAGCTTCCTGGAACCTTTAGCCTTCCCCTCCCACAGTGGTCGAGTAGTATTTAGGACTCCTCACAGCATCACCATCACACCGCCCACGACGCCTCAGTTAAAGAGGCGTCACAAATTGAAACCTCCACGGACTCCCCCTCCGCCTAGCCGGAAGGTTTTTCAGCTGCTACCAAACTTTCCAACCCTCACAAGAAGCAAGTCCCATGAATCACAGCTGGGCAACAGGATAGATGAAGTTCCTCCTGTAAAGTAAGCACTGGGGTTTCCAATTCCCTTATCTCCGATCCCAATGTAACTAGGAAGTCTTGTCTTGCAGATTAGCTAGACCTGTTATAAAGTGAAACAGACCATGTGTTCTAAAGAAGTCTTGCTGCTGAAATTGACGTAGGTGCTTTACAAATGCTATGCAACTCTTAACTTTGTGCACAAGATGGATAGCATTAGTGTAACAAACCACTGCACCCTGTCCTGCTGTCCCATCAGCTCTCAAACTAAGCTGGGTTGGATCAGCATCAATACTTGTGTGGATCCAGATTTTGCAGGAGGTGATGTTTGGTTGTGGTGCAGAATCCATATGGATGGATGCCCTAGCACAATATTAATTGGCTTTTGTAGCTATGATGTCTTTCAGATCACACGTAATAGAGGGGTTTGGATTACTTACTGTTACTGAGGATATCAACACAAGCTTTTTTTTTGTGTGTGCAAGAACATCTCTGCCAAATTCCATATAAAGCAACAATATACACAATTTAGTTGGCTATTGTCTTTCGCTCCTTGTCCAAAGTTGTGTTAAGTGTTGCTGTGGCTTTTAAACAGCTGCATCTCGGACGCACACAACTATATACAGATCTCACTTTTTCAGTTTAACGCTTGTGATATGCTGTGTAGATATTTTGGGATGAAAGGTGTTCGGTTAATGCAGCATTTCATTATTTATGCAAATGAGCATGAAACAAATGCCCTACAAAGTCTGAACGCCCCTGATTTTGGTTCCTGATCAAAGCATCCCCAAAACTTTGCAGCTGGCCCCAAATCAGTACCACTTAGCTAAACCCTCCACCCCTTTGAAGGAGTTCAGAGCTGAGACCTAGGCTACGTCCAGACGCGGGTAGCAATCGATCTATCGGGGATCGATATATCTTGTCTTGTCTAAACATGATATATCGATTCCCCGAACGCGCTTCCATCGACTCCGGGACTCCACCAGGGCGAGCGGCGGTAGCGGAGTCGACGGGGGAGCTGCGTCTGTCAATCCCGTGCCGCGAGGAGGGGCGGTAAGTCGAAATAAGATATGTTGACTTCAGCTATGCTATTCCCGTAGCTGAAGTCAACGTATCTTACATCGACACCCCTCCACCCCCACCCCGTGTAGACCAGCCCCTATTGTCCAGCTGGGACCTGGCTTTCCTGAAGCCTTTTACAAAGAAGTTGGTTATGAGCTGCTATAGAGGTGAATAAGGAAGTTGCATCCTCTTCTATAAAGGGAGGGAAGGAAAGTTAGCTTAGTTAGTTATGGTTACTGATGTGTATGGAAGACTTCAGCACAAAACCACATGTGACCATGTGATAAATTCTGCGTAGCTTTTAAATGCAAGTGCAAATGAAGTGTGTACTGACCCCCACACACTCTTGGGCCTCTGACGGGAGCAAGTATACAGTTTGATTTTTAGCAATGGGTGAGAGGTATTCCCTTGAATTGAAAAGACCTGTAGCCAGCTACAGCTTTGCTTTCTAGTGGTGAAATCCTGGTCTCGTTGAAGTCAATTATAAAACTATTGACTTCAGGGGGGGCCCAAAGTCTGTTTGGAGGCCAATGGAGCACTTCGTTGTTGCGGAGACTGTAATGGACCAAAAAGGCCTTGCTCATCCTTCATATGTCTTTGTACAGCTCCGTGCACTCTGTTTTTGGCATGGATAGATAAATGATAGAATTTACAGCTGGGATTTTCAACAGCACCCATATGATTTGGATGCCTAACCCCCTTAAGCTCCTTTGACAATCCCAGTCTGTGACCAACATCCACTTACGCATGGTACGTATGTGCAAAGTATCTTGCACTCTGTCCAGTGAATTTTATCATTCATGCGCACAAGAGAATGTACAAAATATTGTGCACGCAGGTGCAAAGATGCCTGTGCCAAAAACAGAGGCCATGTTTTGAATATAGAGTCTTAAAGTTTGTAATAAAGACTTTGCATTTAAGGGAGAAGTTTAGATCATCTGTCATGTGATTATTTGTGTTGAAAATGGTTCTTTTTTCTTTTTGTCTTCCAGGTTTGGTAAGAAACAGATTTTTTGGGGGCAGTCTTCACATCCTTGCCTGTGGGGGGAAAGAACGTCTTGTCTTTGCGTCTCCCGTATGGTCCTCTTTTTATGCTACCTTTTGGAAGTCCTCAGTGTAGAGCAGTTGTTAACATCAGCAGGCATTTTGCTTGCATGAGAGCTGCAGGATCAGTCCTTATTTGTTAACACACGCTCTTCAGATGAATAGAGCAACAAAAAGAAACCTTGATACTGTAGGGATTGGACCAGCATTGAAGATGTTTTGTTTGTTTTGTTTGTTTCTCCTGTCATTCCAGCCTCCTGGTCAAGGTCTGTTGGTATTTAAAAGCTCTAATTTCATAGCTGTCCATTCAGCATCAGGGCATACCCTTGCCAGATCCTTCTACTTAGTGTAATGTTTCTTAAGTTTCATGTAGCCTTGGCTTTAGGGATCATGCAATGCCTGTATTTGCAATATGGGGCTTTATGAATAAGTAGCCAATTTAATCATCACTTAGGGCTCAGCTGTGCAAGGCGCAGAACACTCTGGCTCTGAACCAGCAAAGCACTTGGGCCTATGCTTAGCTTTAAGCACGTGAATAGTCCGATGTGCTTTTCAGCATCAGGACGAGTGCTCGGCTGCTTGCAGGATCAAGCTCTTAGCACTTTTTCAGGGTACTTACTGTACCAACCTGCAGTTCAGTGGTATGCTGTGGCATGACAGCAGTAGTCGGACCATACAGGTCTGTTTCATGAACCACTGCCTTCGTCATGAAGCTAACCTAGAAAAACGCTTGTCCTTTGAAACTCTTTAGCCTGCCTGTAAAAAATAAATAAATAAATAAATAAAAATAAAATAAAGGAGATTTTCATGTGCAATATATGGCCTGGTAAGCATTTAAAAAAGCATGACTGGTTTAAAACACAATCCTAGAAGTTCCTTTCCCTAAAATGAATGGAAATGTGAACATCCCCCTTGTGGAGAACTCCTATAGAAACCAGTAGAGGTCTGTAGCTATTTTGATAGGAATGTGTAGCGATTACTTTACTTTAGAACATATGGAATAGAACAGAAAATGAGATCTATTTTTAAAGGCCTTTTTAACTATTCTATTTAAAGATCCTCCCTCTCTCTATTAAATTGTGTAGGATGTTTAAAGAAAAAAAATCCCATAGAAATATCACTTTCTCTTACGTTCAGTAAGAATTTTCTTTGAGTTTATATGTCCTAACCAAAGTTCCAAGCCTTTAGTTAAAAAAACACTGGGCTTTGGTTGACCCGTCTCATTACATCTGTTGTATGAAAGCTGTCATTAGAGGGGGAATAGATGTGTAGTTGCCCTCAATCGTCCACTAAGGACACCCGCTTTTAGGCTTCCAGCTCCCAGCCATCACCTCTCTTGGGTGGAGACCCTCTTCTCTCTTTCCCTCCTGACTGGGTTGTTTTCCATGCTGCACAGTTCCCCACCTATGCAGTTTTTCCCAGCAAGCCAGACTGCCTAAACAGGCTAGCGTCTGTTTTGCTCTCTCTCCAGAGGCTATAAACAGCATAATTGCCCACAGTTGCAAGCTACCGCACTGCTCCTTCTAAATAAGCACCTTTATTCTTAAGGTGAAAGCATTACAGAGAAAACATGAAAACCAATAAAAAACACTACGCATGCTAATGAGTTTACCAGAGATCACCCCCAACTCCAGCTAGGGCTTGGGTAGGAGTCAATCCCCACCAAGGGGTTTTTCTCAGCTTACAAGTTTATACCAGTTTTAGGTCAGAACAGGCATCCCCATGCACAAGTCACTTTCCTCTATGCAGCCTGGCCGTTTGGTCTACAGATTCCAGGGAGAGGTAATCCGTAGACAGTCGTCCCTTCCTCAGGGCATAGCTTCAAAAGGCTGGCTTTTTGCAGAACCTGAGGGAGGGAGTTTGGGGAGGAATTTGCAATCACCTCCCCTTAAAGGTTTCCCAGGAAATCCACTTCACACGTATTATCCCAAACGACCGTTCTTGTCTGCTACATTGTTCAGTACTGTCCTTTGATCAGCCAGGCACACGATTATTTAATACAGTAGACTCCAAAGATACTTGCACTTAATTCAGTGTGGTTTTTCAAGGCTATCGCAGGAAATAATTGCCATATCAGTCACGCAAGCTGCTGCTGCCTTTTATAAAATTGTTTGACATCAGTCAAGCATAGTCTGTGATATTGGAGAATGTAGGTGCCTTGAAGTACATCTCCACCGCCCGCAGCAGCAACCCTCCCAGCCCGGAACAATAGACGTGGGCTAGTGCTCTTAAAAACAGCTGCGTGTGCAGCGCTCTGGAGTTGTGGCTGGAGCTTGGGCTGTACATTTTTAGAGCGCTAGCACTAGCGTGAGCCCTGCAACCCAAGTCTCTGGACCCAGGCTTGGAGGCTCGGGGCTGCCAGCTGTGTTAGACGTACAGTGGAACATTTCAGTGATGTCTCAATAAAAAAGGGATCTGGTGCCATCTAGGGACCGAATGAGAGACTGTTGGTGCCAGTGGGAACTGTGCACACAGGCTGGGGCCTGTCTGACTATATAGTGTCAGGTTTTCCAGTGTGTTAATATTTAACATAGAGCCTTATTTGGAGGCAGCATTGCCCACTAGATGGAGCACTGGATGGGGACTTCGGGAGACCTGGCTCTCTTTCCCAGCTCTGCCACTGGTCAGCTGAGTGACCTTCGGCAAGACACTTCACCACTGTGCTGCAGTGTCGCGAACTGCAGAATGAGGATAATGATGCCAACCTCCTTTGTAAAGTTCTTAATCTATTGATGAAAAGCCCATATAAGAGCTGGAGATTAGTAGTAGTTAAACCATTATTTGGTGGTCTCCTTCCAGATCAGAGCTGCCTTCCTAAACAGGCATTTGAAGCTGATTTGAAAATTGAGAACCTGCAGGGGCTTTTTCCCCTTCAAAATCTGTTTTTAAAAACATTTTCTTACTAATATAGGGCTAGAATTGGGTAAGCTTTACTGCTGGGAGTCTCAGTAAGGCTGCTCATTTGAGTAAGTGCTCGTAAGCATTGCACAAATCTAGCCCATAGTACTGAAAGGGACAGGAAGTCATTTCAGCCTCATGTCTGACTTACCTTAACATTTCCCACCAGCCTGTTTATCATTTTAACAGTCCGCCACTGATGCAAATGTTTGTTAGCAGTGTCTGATGTGGTCTCCTTTAGGGGATGGTGCATTTGCAGGCTGGGTGGACTTGTCCCATCTCTAACCATGCTCCTGAAATAATAGTTAATAAAGTAATAGGGGAAAACAAATCTATAAATCCACACACCCCTATTAAATTGAGAGCTGGGGACCAGCCACAGCTTATGTTGGTTCCACACCATGAAGAGAGCATCTCCTGTGGTTCTGTAGCAACGAGTGAACTAGTCCCATAATTAGTGACCCTGGGGCATAAGGCCAAGGGAGGTAGGTTCTCGACTCCCGTTGAATTTCAGTGGGTGTGGGTGCCAGACCCAGGTGCAGGGGAAGGAGTGCTAGAGGTGTTACTGATCTCTTTTGCAAACACAAGTGTATTTGAGCTCCCTTGGTGGGACTTGCTGTTTATTGTTCCCTTAGAAATGAGATTTTCATGTGCAAATTTCACTTTAGATTTCTAAAATGCTCACAAACTATAAGCGTCTTTTTTTTTGGTGGCTAACTTTTTTTTAAACCTAATTTGTTCCCCATCAGATCTTCCCCAGGGATCCCCTCAGATGGTACGAAGAGACATCGGCATATCCGTAACACACAGGTAAACACCAACACAGAATACAGCAGGTGCCGCAAAGGAAATGAAATGGATGTTGCCGTAATCTGAACCGTGATGTTTTAGTGCAGTTTCTAGCTGACTCTCTGAGACAGAATTTTACGATGCCTTGGGTGCCTCCTTTGGGAAGTTCAGCCTTGACTCTGCATTTCCTAGGTTGCTATTGGTTTTAACGCCAATGTCCTTAAATGGCATTACACATTAGAACTATTGATGGGTCTCTGGAACCTTCCCTTCCCTCTTACAAAGTTGTTCATTTGGGATCCTGCCAATGTCTTGCTTATTCGTATTGCTGTGGTGCCAGAGAGCGCCTGCCATGAACCACGACCCAGTCGTGCAAGGGGCTGTACAAACACAAAACAAAGACAGTCCCTGTCCCAAAGAGCTTGCAGACCAAAGGGAAGGTCTTGGTCTTAAAATGGGAGGAGCACATTAGCCCCTTCCCTGATTCCCTCCTCCCATGCCATGCTCCCTCCAAAAAAACCCCAACAACCAACCAAGAGGGAGTATGTTTAGCCGTAACTATTGTCCCATACAGGTTTTATGTATCTGTTTGCTCTGCTGTTCTGCTAGAAGGGAAAAAATCAATCATAACGTAGGCTCTGATCCAGCAAATACCGTAACTTTAGTCCCCTGATTAGTTCACTGACCTCAGCATGGCTGTTCAGTCCTGATTCAGAACAGAACTTAAGCACGTGCATAAGAGGCTTATGTGCTTCTCCGTCTGAGCGCCCATCATAAAGAAACAGCCCTATATGTGACCTGCTTTTAGGGAGCCTTTGGAGGAGAAACAGTAGTGATGTGACTTTCCCCTCTGGGTTGAGTTCTGCACGTGATTATTTGCTGTGACCCAGTTGGTTTTGGCTGAATGTCTGTATCCATAGGGCTATAGATCAACCAGCCTCAGGAGTTGTCAACCAGCAATTCCAGTTTGCAAAACTGCACTGAAAAATGGCAAAAATATCCTCTTGGGAGTTGGACACCAGCGTGTGTGTGTGGATGCGTGCGTGTGTGCATACTGGTTCTTCTTGACAAACAAGCCCTGTCCGCTCACCTGTGATTTGCTGGAGGCTGAAATTGACCCCAATACAGATGGCCAGCACAAAACCTATGTTTGTCTTCTGCACAAAGATCACTTTCATTCCCTGAGCAGGTGCTGGCTTCCTTAAATTCCTTTTTATTTAAAAACAAAAACAACAAAAAAAGCCACTTCCATCAGGTTCCCTTTTATAAGAGGCTGCACTGTAAACTGGCTGTAGTCAAACAGTGTTTCAGTTAAAGTTTGGTTTTCTGTTTAACTGGCCCCACTATAACACTTTTTTCCCCCCTTTCTGCTCAGATTCTCTACAAAATCTTGGTTATCTCAGATGTGCCACGTGTGTCAGAAAAGCATGATGTTCGGCGTGAAGTGTAAGCACTGCAGGTGAGCACTGAATGCTGGTCCCTTACTGAAGGATGTTTCGTGTCGTTCGATTTATTATTGATCTCTGAGACTTATTTGCTTTGCTTCTTAGTTTGTTACAACTTTGGGCCCTGCATTGGGGTCCATCGACAAAGACAGTGGTGGAGGGAGAGGAAACCTAACCCACTGACTAAAGTTGTGACTTGGGAGATCCAGACACTACTCCATGCTCTGCCACAGGCTTCCAACATGACCTTGGTCAAGTCACTTAGTCTCTCTGTGCCTCAGTTCCCATCTGTAAAGTGAGGCTAATAGCGCTGTCCTACTTCACATGGGTTTTGTGAGGATAAATGCATTTTAAAAAAGTAATCTGTTCCCATCCTACAGCAATGGGGCCATATAAATACCTCATAGCAGTGCTACATCTGGGCACAGACCCTGGTGCATAATCAGATCACAGGACAGCACTGGGGCCCTGCTAGTTTGCAGAACCTTTGAAATCAGCATGCAATGTGCCAGGGGAGGCCTAGACTCTGTCTATAATGAATTAGTTGCTATCTAATGTGTGTGTCTCTTTCTCTTTCACACAGATTAAAGTGTCATAACAAATGTACTAAAGAGGCCCCTGCTTGCAGAATATCTTTCCTTCCTAGTAAGTTTGCTCTGAGTCACAGCATTTTATCTTTCATCACTGATGTTATCGCAATGAGAATCAGTCTGAATAAACCTTTCTTTCTCCCTCCCCTTTCAGTAGCGAAAATAAGAAGGACGGAGTCTGTCCCTTCTGATATTAATAACCCAGTGGATAGACCTGCAGAGCCGCAGTTTGGAACCCTTCCAAAAGCACTAACGAAAAAGGTACTTGGTGAACAAACCTTGTGATGCGTCTCTGCAACTGAATTGTGAGCCAGTCTGGGGAAGATGCAGCACCACGTCTAGCGCAGCGACAGCTGCATTTTTCGCACGTTTTGTTTTCAGCTACTCTGTGCAAAGAGTCTTGGTTTCAACGTGTGACATGTTCCACTTGTGAAATGTGGTTTCTGAGTTGCTCCAGCCCCTCTGCTGCTTTGAGGGGGGGATTGAAACCTAGAACCAAAGCAATTGAGTGGGAAAGAGCACGGGTCACAAATTTTCAGTCACAATGGTAGCTTGATGGAAAACTGGGTTTTTTGAT